GAATAAATAGTTTAACCGCCTACAATGTGTACAGTTGAATTTTGGGTCCTCAGTCTGATAACTTACATTAATAAATAGTCGAAAAAAGTTTCAACTAGAAAATCAGTTTCCTGAGTCAAATGAGAGAATAAAAAGATGAATACTCAGCACAGAGTTTAAGTATTTGGAAAAGAAAATAATTTAAACTCACCATCGGTGGGTCCTCTCCCCTCTCTGAACGTTAGATAAACTTTTCAAAGGCCTCCTGTCTCTCTCTGAACCTTTAATACGAGCTTTTTGAAAGCTTCCTCGTTCACAGCTTTTGTCAAAGCAATTTCATCTATTAGAGAATTAAGGGCGGCAGGGTTTCGGGGGCGGGTTTATATGATTATCTTATGTCTTCTTCCTAGTCAGATGTTTTTATAATGAGGCTCTTTGTAAGAATAATTTACAAACATTGAGCTGTTTTACATTCAGTTCAGGTAATCTTTGATTGAATTCAAACACTAATAAACACTAATGAACATTAATCATTGAAGATTAGCTGGTTTTAAACAGTCAGAATAAAAATTGTGCTGCATTTCATTTCAAGAAATACTGATAATCTGAAATGATTTAAAAGTACTGTTGATTCAAAGTTTCAATTATGTTTTGCTGTAACTTTAAAAGAGCAGAGCTGCTCTTACATGCAGTCACCTTGATCAGCGTAGTTTTAGAATATATCAATATATTCTACAATTTATACATTCTAGAATACAAGTCCTAGAATTTATTATGAACTGCTGCTTATCTCCAGTAATTTGTTGATAAAATTGCAGGTTTTAACATATATCCTGAATGTTCCTGTGGACTGAACTCATCAATGTGTGTTTACCTCCACTTTATCTCATCTCGCTCATCAGCTGTGATGCAATAAATGTTTAGTTTATTCCTTGCTCTCTGCAGTTAACAGATGATTCCAGTTTATTACTTTGCAGAATTTGGTATCTGATCAAGCAGCAGTTGCTCTAAACAGGATCTTACTTTGCAAACCGCAAGATTCTAAACTCTATAAGACGAAACGATGGGTTTATCTGATGCCTTGAGGCGTAAATTAGCAAATATATCTGTTCCTTGCATCATCTTTTAAAAAAGAAGTATGTAAGAACAAGAAAAATGTCAGACTGAGATGTAACTTAGCTTTGGCTTGTAGCTTGGAAATAGTTTTTCTATAAACAACACA